CCAGGAATGGCTCAGGCTCCTGTGAACCTGTCTCAGGATCACGCCTGACTCGAAAGGAACAACCTTGTTATAGAGATTTTCCGACAGAGTCTATTGAAATTTCAATGATCAGTTGACTTTCAAACAGGCGTTTTGGTTTCGAAAATATTAACATACAGAGAGGACTCGCCCAATAGTGCCGAATTGAGTAATTCCACGAGTGAGTAATGCAGGGGGTTTTCGGTGAACACAGGTTATCATACTTTGCATTGCTGTTAGACACCTGTCCTAGACGGGGACGCGGCCACGAAGATGCCCAACAGTAAACGGATCATCCTTTCCAACAGACCCGACAGATTCTCTCCGTCTTACTCCAGTGACACGCAAGGGCACCGACACAACCACAACACAGCATGAAAAGACGAGTGCAGATGGAACCAAACGGATAGAATCAAATGAGTGTGTTATTCCAGGTTTTGAGGAAGAAATTGCCTGCTTTACGGGAGTGGAGGAAATGGTGAACAATTCGGGTATTGAGGATGCAGTTTGTCATTTGCACCGTGCAAAGCGCGAGTTGCTACCCCCCGCTTATTGCACCTCCTGGTCACAAGCCCCATCTCTCCACAAGCCAGGGTCACAGGACTCTCGGCCCTTACCCGCCTAGCCCGTCGCTTGAGTGGGGGCTACATTCCAGATGCATCACTCCCCTCCTCCCGGCCGCTACCCTTTCTGCCACTCAATCCCCGCCAAGGCAAAATACGCCCCATTGCGATAGGTCAAGTAATCAGGCGTCTGGTCATGAAGACCCTGCTCCCCGCCGCACTAGAGGACTCAAGAGAATACTTCCAACCACTGCAAAAGGCCAACAGTATACCAGCCGGCACGGACGCAATCGTACACGATGCTAGGATGATCACAAACCGATACAATCAGCATACAGATTACGTACTTGTCTCTGTTGATGTAAGCAACGCATTTAGCAGATGCTCTCGACAGTGTTTCTTCGATGTTCTCCCGGATCGCGCCCCCTCACTCGCTCGTTTCTTCAATCGCATATACGCCTCCTCGACACCCCCTCTCGTCATCCCCGCCTCGCCATCAATAATTTTGCTAAGCTCCGAAGGCGCCCAACAAGACGACCCCGCAAGCATGCTGCTATTCTCATTATCTGTCCACAAGCTGTTTAGAAACCTTGAAGCGGAATGTGACCTCGCCCTCCACGTGTACTATGCCGATGATGGCACACTTGCTGGACCATTAGCTGAAGTAAAACAGGCACTACAGTTGCTGCAGACCAAGGGTCCCGAACACCAGTTCTACATTAACCTCTCTAAGACACGTGCTTATGTGCCCTCCGCAAACGAAGCAACCATGGCAGAACTCCACACACTCCTACCTCTCGGAAACATATCCTCAATGGGACTCGATCTCCTTGGCATACCAATTGGCACAACACAATTTGTCGATAACCAAATTGCGAAAAAAACTTGACTCATGCGCAATTATTCTTGAATATCTCAACGATATACCGGACGCCCGCATCAAATTTCACATGAACCGAGTCTCCGCCTCTGCTTGTAAGATCTATCATCTTTTTCCGCTGACATCACCGCAACAATCGATACTACATGCCCTAAAATTTGACGAGGATCAGCTCAAAGCCTACTCCCGAATTAATAGCATTACCATGTCGCCCGCGGTCAGCTACCAAGTGCAGATTCCTTTTCGCTATGGCAGTCACGGCTTCACGGCTACAACCCCTCTGCTCCATGCTTCATACGCTGCCAGCCTTATCGCCGCAGCACCCCAAACGCATGAAAGGCCCACATGGCCTTTCTGAGTCGAACTACCGCTTCCTGGCCCGCTCGACTCTCTGCGTTCTTATGCAGAACCTCCCCCCGTATGCACGTCCCCCTGAATTTTCATGCATACAGTCTCCCAACACGAATTTCAACCTTGGTGCATATGAACCCGAATCTCTGGCACAATAACCTGATAGCACTCACCACTTTTTATTTGAGGTTGTACACGCTGCAGCTTCAAGAAAATACTGGGAACAGCACTCGTGGGCCGCTCACCCAAACCCTTCCGATCACATCACCATGTCCGTCCGACGCCGCGTCAGATACGATTCTCTTCTTGCTCTTGGGGCTTCTGCATTCCTCACAGCCCATCCCTCTCTTTCGACCCGTGACCATTCTTCACAATGGCCAATAATGCTTCGCAGACATCTCGACGTTCCCGTTTACCCCGACTCTATCACCCCGTTTATATGCTCCCACTGCTCACGACAGATGGACAGCCGCGGAGACCACGCCACCCACTGCAGCTCGGGTTTCGATGTCACTCACCGCCACAACACGCTCCGAAATAAGCTCTCCCGACACGCGTTTCGAGCGGATGGATTCCGGTGTAAATTGGAAGTCCCCATCTTGATCCCACACACCGATCATCGACGTGCCGACATTCTTTTGCAGCCGGGACCTCCCCGCCCCTGGCATGCCTCCAGACAAACCGACTGCCTATGATGTCACTGTGCGCAGCCCATACACCAAAAATATCATACGTATAGCCGCACATCGTCCCGCCGCCGCTGCCGAAGAGGGAGACTCAGATAAACAACGAGGCATAAACCGTACACTCCGCAACGTGCTTCACCTCCCAGCAGACGCCACGATACCTGTCCTGGGCCGGCACTTTCTGCCCCTCGCCTTTGACACCCTAAGCGCTGCATCCGCCCGATCGATCGACGTAATCAACGCTCTAGCACGCAACATCGCCGCCCGAAGCCACTGTGCCTACAGTACGACGAAGCTACACCTGCATCAACGAATCAGTTACGCAATATGGTCCACTGTCGCTACAGCCATCCTCTGCCGTATGCCACTTCACGCCACGGCCATCGAACACCCAATTGAAGTTTGACTCGTGTCTTGAAAAATCCGTAGTTTGTGGTAGCATCCGCCGACGTATCCAGTGAATAAAATGAGACTCCTGCGAGTTGCCAACTGCACACGCTGAGCAGAGTCGTTCCGAGAGGCGCCAGATGCTTGTAAACGAGTATTTTGTGTGACCCCATTCATTAGTGCAAGATGCGATTATTGCATGTTGTTGGAACCTTGGAAGGGGGTGCACTACTCGGTGTGGTTGACTGTAACACTTTTTGAAGTTGGTCAAAATGGCTCCTTTTTTGGGCATTTTAAAAATGACTGGAAAATACGCGCAGATCTCACCAAACTCCACCCTTTCGGAACGCAGAAGTCAACTGCGGTGGCGGGAGTATCTTTTTCCATCTTGTTGAGCTAGCGCTAGTCGAGAAAAAATAAGTTGAAAAGTGACCTCATATGAGGTCATTTGTCACCCAGACACTAGTGTCTATTCGACCAAGCATTATCATAACATACAAATTGGGCGAATTTTATTTCTTTTCAACCTTTGGTGAGCACGGTTTCAATTTTCTCTGGTAGATTGACTAGATTTAAAATTTTCTGAAGTTCGAACCGAATAGAAAGCCCTCAACGCAATGTTAGAAACTGTCTATGCTACTGGGGGGGGGGGGGGGGG